GCCTGACATACTTTGGACATCTTGCAAGGAGAGGTAGGTCCTTGGAGAAGGACATCATGCTGGGTAGAGTAGAGGGACAGCGCAGGAGGGGAAGGCCCTCTATGAGGTGGATTGATTCAGTGACTGGGGTAATCGGGATGGGTGTGTCAGAGGCAGTGCGATTGGCACAGGATAGAACAGGGTTTAGGGCTGTTGTTCATAGGGTCGCTATGAGTCACAAACGACTCGACGGCACATAACAGCAGCAGCAACAACAGCAACAGTGTTCTTAAAGTTCATTCACCATTCCGAGTTTTTCGTTATTCAAATTTGAAAAGCACATTGACTTCCAAATCCTAATAAGAATCTACAGGTAATACATAGTAGCCACTTGTTTGGAGGTGTGTATATGTGAGGTTTTGTCTTTGTTTTAAAAACAACAACAAACACAACAATAAAAGAAGAACCCTAGTGATAGTGAGTTGCTTCCAAGACTCAATGATCCTCATTTGGGTTTCTAAAACTGTAAAACTTCACTAGACGTGCTCACTTGGTCGTCATGATGGTGCCTCCCAGCGTGTTTCTGAGCGGGAGCTGCAGTGGAGAGGTACCGGCTCCTTCCCGGGCCTGCTTCCGGGCCGTTACCATTCTAACTGTTAGATTTTTGAGACTGGAACCCGAGCAGGTTCCTTCGCGGTGGCGACCCTCGCTCAGAGAGGAGGGGGCTGGGCGCCTGCTGATTTGCCTGAGGCTCTGCCTCTGCCTCCTTTGCTTCCACGCATGGCCTCTGCTCTTGTTCTCCCTTAGCGCCCTGAAAGGACAGAAAAAAGCAATTCGGTTCCAGAAAATTCGGAGGCAAATGGAGGCGCCAGGTGCCCCGCCCAGGACCCTGATGCGTGAGGCCATGGAGCAGATCCGGTATTTACATAAGGAATTTGCTGAGTCCTGGTCAGTTCCACGATTGGCTGAAGGCTTTGATGTCAGCACCTGTGATCCGGAGGGTTTTAAAAAGCAAGTTTGTTTTTCAATGCAGCATAGTACTCCATTGTG